AAGGCCCTACAAATTGTCAAAGACTCCAGCCACCCTAGTTGTAGACTGTTCTCTCTGCTACCGCACGGCAAGCGGTACCGGATCGCTAAGTCTAGGTCCAAGAGGCTTCTAAACAGCTTCTACCCCCAAGCCATGAGACTCCTGAACATCTAATCAAATGGCTATCCAGACTATTTGCATTGCCCCACCGCCCCCTCTTTTACACTGTTGCTACTCACTGTTTATTATCTATTTGCATAGTCACTTTAATAACTCTACCTACATGTACATATTACCTCGTCTAACTGGTGCCCCCGCACATTGACTCTGTGCCGGTACCCCCTGTATATAGCCTCGCTATTGTTATTTTACTATTGTTATTTTACTCCTGCTCTTTAATTATTTGTTACTTTTTTTTTGGGGGGGGGGGGGTATTCTTTCTTAAAACTGCATTGTTGGTTAAGGGCTTGTGAGTAAGCAATACCTGTTGTATTCGGCGCATGTGACAAATCAAATTTTATTTTATTTTATTTGAACACTGTATGTTAAAAGCACTCTGTGTGAGCATCTCTAACCTTGTAAACAAACAAACAGAGCTGTGAATGGATCAGTGGTTCACCAGTCAGGGCCTTGATGGGCTTGGCAACAGTAACACGTTTCTTTGGGACCATCAGGCGACAACTGATACACAGAAATATTCTTGAAACATGTCTAGAACATTAATATCTTACATTCTGAGAACATTGCAACCATGTTCTGTGTATGGTTGATGTGACATTGATGGAATATTCTCTTAACCTTCAGAAAATGGACATAGGAATGTTCTTGCAACGTTCTCATGAAATGTGTCTAGAACATTAATATCTAATATTGTGAGAACATGGCAACAATGTTCTGTGTATGTTTGGTGGAACGTTGATAGAATATTCTCCTAACCCTCAGAAAACTGGACACATGAATGTTCTTGCAATGTCCCATAAAACTCATCGAGAACATTAATGTTGTATATTCTGAGAACATTGTAACCACATTCTAGATAAGTTCTGCTTTACATTAAGGGAATGTTCTCCTAACTTTAACACCAAAACATGCTAAAAAGGTTCTCAGAAGGTTTTTGCTAATATAGATAGAATGTTCCCCTAACTAACAGAAAACTGGACACTCAAACATTAGTGGAACATTATAAGCAATATTACAAAAACATTCTCTCTCCCTAAAATTGTTAGCTGGGGTAAAAATACATTTGAAAAAGACCATGATTTTCACTAACTTTCATCCATATTTGACACTTGTATCTTAAAGCATAATTGAGAAATAATTAATTCATTTGTGACATTTTTGCCTTACCCAGGCCTCCTTTAAGGCTCCATAATGATTCATCTGTTGGTGTCATATGGAGCTTTACCGCTTGCTCTGTAATATGAGTAGTATTTAGATTTCAATAAAAATGTTCTTACTTTTTTTAATGAATATTGAAAATTGGATTTTACTATTTTTGACTAAATTAGCATAGTAGCTAATGTAACCAATCACTGCCCTCTTTTTACAACCATTCTGAATCCATTTTCACATTCACTCTTTTGGTAATGTTTACAAATTGGATCATAAGTCTAAAAGTAGCAGAGATCCCACTCTGGAGCCATTCAAAGCATTTTTCAAATAGAATTCTTCCAGCTCAATGTTCTATAAAAACATTGCCCGTAGAGTATATTATGTGCAACAGTATTTTGAAAATGTTTGTTTATTTTCTTCAATATTCATTAATTAATGTAACAAAATTGTTATTGAAATAAAAATACTACTCATATAACAAAGCGAGGGGTAAAGCTTCATACCTACAGATTAAACATTATGGAGTCTTAAAGGAGGCCTGGGTAAGGCCAAAATGTCACAAATGTTCCAACTTCAATTCATTATTTCTCAATTATGCTTTAAGATACAAATGTCAAATATATGTCAAGAATGCTTCCACCAAAGGTCCCTTCTATTGATTACATTTTGTGAAAATCCCAAAAATATTTTTTGTTCTAGTTTTGTGAGTAATCACCCTACTACAGTGATGATATTCAGCACTATAATAATATTTTATGAAGAAACAACTTGGTGGTGCTCCGTTTTTATAGAACATTGAGCTGGAAGAATACTATTTGAAAAATGCTTTGAATGGCTCTAAAGAGAGACACATGAGTGCAGTGTTGTAATCCTGTACAGTGGGATGCCTCTCCTGCATGACATTATGGAGGTTTTCATGTATATATCTAACCTGCCTCCACTCTTACTCTACACTAACTCCCTCGTAGGACCTTTTACACTAGCCATTAATTGCAGGGTAATGTTTGAATTAGCATTCAGTTCCCTAGTGTGGCTGTCTACTGGAACAGTGTAAGTGTTCAGCTGCATTAGATAATGCTTATCATTTACAAATGAGAGGCCAGCAGGCCAACAAGCCATTAGTACACTATGAATAATTTGTGTACGAAACAGGAACAAATAGGCCCATAGTATATGAGGAATACTAAACACTCAAAATGCATTTTTCCTCAGTCTATTGAAACCTATCCCCAGGGATTTGCCCAATCCTCTTAAATTACAGGGCTTTGCTATGAGCAAAATGGACTCTGATTGACTGAAGGTCTTAGGAATGAATCATTTCAAGGCCCCAAACTATGGGAGCCAACATCATGCTAGCTAGGTCCATTGGACTTATTGCTAGGTGTAGGATTTAGAGTTTACTTTCTACAACTTTACCTTGGTTTGTTTAACATGTGTCTTATTCCTGTGTTTCTCTTTTTATTGTCTCCATTCTTAGAGCGATTGTAAAAAAAGGAGTGTCGTTTCGCTCAGCTACACCCAGTAACTCGTTGCTGTGGGACATCACCCTGGACTCTAGAGCGGATGGCACCATCGCTGTTGTTTGTCAGAGGAAATCTGCCATACATGGAAAAAGGCAAGTCTGCTGAAAATACACAACAATCCCCCTAATAGACTGTCAGTGAACGCCATTAAACCCACCATGTGTTCAACCATTGGCTGGACCCTTCACATTTGGCTGCTCACAGACAGTTTTACACATACTCCTGAATAAGCATTACTGTACCGTATAAGGAGTTAAAGTCATGGATTTGTTAGTTAATTAATATGAATAATAGTGTACATGATACAGAGGGTTAATGACTTCCATTTTGCCTGAGTAAGTTGAAAATAGTCTGCAAAATAGTATGTGAAACAATGAGTAGGCTAACGACTCAGAATAAATATCACATACTATTTTGTCTCCTGAGTGGCGCAGTGGTCTAAGGCACTGCATCGCAGTGCTAACTGTGCCACTAGAGATCCTGGTTCGAATCCAGGCTCTGTCGCAGCCGGCTGCGACCGGGAGACCCATGGGGCGGCGCACAATTGGCCCAGCGTCGTCCAGGGTAGGGGAGGGAATGGCCGGCAGGGATGTAGTTCAGTTGGTAGAGCATGGCGTTTGCAACGCCAGGGTTGTGGGTTCGATTCCCATGGGGGGCCAGTATAAAAAATAATAATATATATATATATATATATATGTATTCACTAACTGTAAGTCGCTCTGGATAAGAGCGTCTGCTAAATGACTAAAATGAAAAAATGTAAATAAACACTCACACATGATGCCATTTTGACTGGGGCTTAGGCTATCTGACCTGAGAAGACACCTTATGCTATACAAGCACTGGTCTACTGCTGGGAAAAGCTTAAGTAAATCTGCTTCTTAAAGAGGCCACTGTCCTCACAGGTCATTAAGTAGCGCTACGTCTTTAAGAAAATCTCTAGAAGTCTCTAATTGCTTATCTACACTGAGTGTACAAAACATTAAAGACACCTGCTCTTTCCATGACATAGACTGACCAGGTGAATCCAGACTACATCTATGATCCCTTATTGATGTCACTTGTTAAATCCACTTCAATCAGTGTAGATGAAGGGGAGGAGACAGGTTAAAGAAGGATTTTTAAGCCTTGAGACAATTGAGACATGGATTGTGTATGGGTGCCATTCAGAGGGTGAATGGGTAAGACAAAAGATTTACAGTGCCTTTGAACGGGGTAGGGTAGTAGTTGCCAGGCGCACCGGTTTGTGTCAAGAACTGCAACGCTGCTGGGTTTTTCAGGCTCAACAGTTTCTCGTGTGTATCAAGAATGGTCCACCACCCAAAGGACATCCAGCCAATTTGACACAACTGTGTAGAAATAGGGTTCTTAATGTTAGGAAGGTGTTTTTAATGTTTTGTACACTCAGTGTATAGTTCACATGAAATCTCTGAAAATTATTTTTCAGTATATTAAAGTGTTTCTGTCTCCTTTACTGTACTGTATGTTGTTAAGACTCTTGGCAAATACTAAACAATTATTAACATTAGACAGTAGCGGGCCCAGTCAATGTGAATATGTGGCATTGTTAATACCTCTTCCGTTCCTAGAAGCTCAACTTGCATGTCCTTTTAAGTCTGTAGGATCTATTTCTGGTACCATTGCTGCTGTCACAAAGACATCTGGAGTCATGGTGCTCTTTTTGAAGTGTAACCTTTACCTTGCTTGAGGACAATACGCCAGATGTAGGAACCTGTCCATGCTGGAACAGGACCTTCCATTGACATTCCATGTAACTGACCAACTCTGTGACTTGGCTGACCTTTATGATCTGGTGTGGCTCCAGGTATTTATAGCCTATGAGATGTTCCTGTGAATTTAAAGGTGGCACATCCTTTGTAGTTTGTCATTTTAATTGGAGCATTATGGCGTCCATGATTGCATTGAGCGTAGCAAGCAGGATACACTTCACACTGACAAGGATGGAGTGATAGAAACACTGACCTGGTAAAATTAAGTTATTATTGGGTTGACCTAATTTTCTTATTTTCTCCATGTAATGGGGATTAGTCCATTCTTTATCGAACCAGTTTTGGGGAACATATTTGTTGATGCAGAATCGTTTGTTAGGGATAATCCATCTAAAAATGTCATTTAATTTACTAGACCCCCTGCAGGGGCTGTCTAATGTCACACCACTTTGGGGATTTCATGGACTTTGTCTCTCAGCTTCCTAGCGCACTGTGAGTGTTTATGCGGCTATCTGGATATTAAGGAATTGACAATAGAATGCAACAGATCTTCCGACTTAAGATGGCCACTTAGTGAGAGTGCTGTCCCTTTAATAATCTGGGGTTTGGAGTACTTCACTGCTTCACCCACAAGAATGACAGAAGGCTATAATGGTGTCCCCCATCTCACTGTAATGCCAGATTAAAACAGCAAAATCTGTTTTAATATATACTTTAGGGGATAGAGACCCTCTTGCACATCTTGTTTTGATACTTGACTAAAATACTCTTACTGTTTGTTTGTGTTTCAGTGTGTTTTTGCGCAATATTCTAAGATTATTCAATTACAGTAAATCTCTCTTTTTACGTCTTTACATATGGTGTGCAGAATTATGAAAGCTCTTAGAGAATAAATGATAGAGAACTCATCAGAAGTAGCTTTGTGCTTGCATTTGGTTTTGAAGAGACACACACTGTACATTTGAAAATATTTGACAGTTGATTGTGTGTAAGTGTTTTATGTGACGAAGGGAGGGTGTGTGCCAGATACAGGACTGTCTTACTTGAGAGTGAGTGGACGTGGTCCTATTCAGTATGTTTCACAGGGAGTTGCAATGAAAAAGGGATAGGATGGACACTCTATTGTCAATGTTCCAGCTGCGTAATATTATGAGTCAAAGGAGATCTCATGAGTTCATGGCACCTCACTTGACTCCAAGTTCAAAGTCCATAGTTAAAAGCTGTCTAAACCCATCACTGCACTTACCCATTCTTGTAAATCCCCATGTTTATGATGATGATCTAAAGTACTTTCAGTTAAAACAGGCCTAACACTGTCTGTAATGCTTTAAAGATGTTTCACTTTAGAGACTTTGAACAGATTCATCAGATTAGAGGGGATCCTATCCAAGTCCTATTCAAGCCATTATCATGTACATTGAGAGGATCAGGCTATCAGAGAACTTTGCTGCTACAAGCTATCTATCCTATTTAGCCCATGCGTGCATTCTACTTCAGCCTGACGCCTGCTGTGGCATGTGTGTCTGTTTACAGATAATAGGTTTCAGTGGAGCCGGGAGATTGTCCACCTCATTAATCTGTTGTCTCACAATCAAATCCCTGATGCTCATTTGACATGCTCAGCTCGTCATACCTTACATGTGCACAAACAAAGTGATTACTTTACAGTAACCGGAAATTAATGCGGGAAAGAACATTAAATGACACCCTCTGTGTGGATAGTCTTGTTTTATGGTACTGACGGCGTGAAGATAAAATGTTTTGTTGTTATTTGGATGAAGGACAAAAAAACAATAAATTAAAAACAGAATCATAAATGAGTTGTTTTCTTATTAGGCATATGTAGGAAGTCACTTTGACAATGCTGGTCTGTTTATTATACTAAACATACAGTACATGTAAGACATAAGCTTTTACAATGCAATGAAGTCTATCACAGAGTCAAGGTTAGGGTTAAAAAACTGTATTCCTCCTGTTTTTCGTCCTGGGTTTGAGCAACGCTTCAGATTCAGAATCACCTTTATTTGCCAAGTACATTTGCACATACTCAGAATTGTACTTGATGATATGTTACTGCTAGTGAATGACAACATTTAGAAACAGAATACAGACAGCAGAGTTTAAACAAAGTTTACATATATTACACACAACTAGGTAGAGTGAGCATAGAGCAATAAGAGGATGAGCAGTGTATGGGTACAGTGGGGGAAAAAAGTATTTAGTCAGCCACCAATTGTGCAAGTTCTCCCACTTAAAAAGATGAGAGAGGCCTGTAAGTTTCATCATAGGTACACGTCAACTATGACAGACAAATTGAGAAAAAAAATTCCTGAAAATCACATTGTAGGATTTTTAATGAATTTATTTGCAAATTATGTTGGAAAATAAGTATTTGGTCACCTACAAACAAGCAAGATTTCTGGCTCTCACAGACCTGTAACTTCTTCTTTAAGAGGCTCCTCTGTCCTCCACTCGTTACCTGTATTAATGGCACCTGTTTGAACTTGTTATCAGTATAAAAGACACCTGTCCACAACCTCAAACAGTCACACTCCAAACTCCACTATGGCCAAGACCAAAGAGCTGTCAAAGGACACCAGAAACAAAATTGTAGACCTGCACCAGGCTGGGAAGACTGAATCTGCAATAGGTAAGCAGCTTGGTTTGAAGAAATCAACTGTGGGAGCAATTATTAGGAAATGGAAGACATACAAGACCACTGATAATCTCCCTCGATCTGGGGCTCCACGCAAGATCTCACCCTGTGGGGTCAAAATGATCACAAGAACGGTGAGCAAAAATCCCAGAACCACACGGGGGGACCTAGTGAATTACCTGCAGAGAGCTGGGACCAAAGTAACAAAGCCTACCATCAGTAACACACTACGCCGCCAGGGACTCAAATCCTGCAGTGCCAGATGTGTCCCCCTGCTTAAGCCAGTACATGTCCAGGCCCGTCTGAAGTTTGCTAGAGTGCATTTGGATGATCCAGAAGAGGATTGGGAGAATGTCATATGGTCAGATGAAACCAAAATAGAACTTTTTGGTAAAAACTCAACTCGTCGTGTTTGGAGGACAAAGAATGCTGAGTTGCATCCAAAGAACACCATACCTACTGTGAAGCATGGGGGTGGAAACATCATGCTTTGGGGCTGTTTTTCTGCAAAGGGACCAGGACGACTGATCCGTGTAAAGGAAAGAATGAATGGGGCCATGTATCGTGAGATTTTGAGTGAAAACCTCCTTCCATCAGCAAGGGCATTGAAGATGAAATGTGGCTGGGTCTTTCAGCATGACAATGATCCCAAACACACCGCCCGGGCAACGAAGGAGTGGCTTCGTAAGAAGCATTTCAAGGTCCTGGAGTGGCCTAGCCAGTCTCCAGATCTCAACCCCATAGAAAATCTTTGGAGGGAGTTGAAAGTCTGTGTTGCCCAGCGACAGCCCCAAAACATCACTGCTCTAGAGGAGATCTGCATGGAGGAATGGGCCAAAATACCAGCAACAGTGTGTGAAAACCTTGTGAAGACTTACAGAAAACGTTTGACCTGTGTCATTGCCAACAAAGGGTATATAACAAAGTATTGAGAAACTTTTGTTATTGACCAAATACTTATTTTCCACCATAATTTGCAAATAAATTCATTAAAAATCCTACAATGTGATTTTCTGGATTTTTTTTCCTCATTTTGTCTGTCATAGTTGATGTGTACCTATGATGAAAATTACAGGCCTCTCTCATCTTTTTAAGTGGGAGAACTTGCACAATTGGTGGCTGACTAAATACTTTTTTCCCCACTGTATATACATACAGTACCAGTCAGAAGTTTGGACACACCTACTCATTCAAGGGTTTTGCTTTATTTTTACTATTTTTCACATTGTAGAATAGTAGTGAAGACATCAAAACTATGAAATAACACATATGGAATCATGTAGTAACCAAATAAGTGTTAAACAAATCAAAATATATTTTATATTCAAATAGCCACCATTTGCCTTGATGACAGCTTTGCACACTCTTTGCATTCTCTCAACCAGCTTCATGAGGTAGTCACCTGGAATGCATTTCAATTAACAGGTGTGCCTTCTTAAAAGTTAATTTGTGGAATTTCTTTCCTTCTTAATGTGTTTGAGCCAATCAGTTGTGTTGTGACAAGGTAGAGGGGGGGGGGGGGGGGGGTATACAGAAGATAGCCCTATTTGGTAAAATACCAAGTCCATATTATGGCAAGAACAGCTCAAATAAGCAAAGAGAAATTACAGTCCATCATTACTTCAAGACATGAAGGTCAGTCAATATGGAAAATGTCAAGAACTTTGAAAGTGCAGTCGCAAAAACCATGAAGTGCTATGATGAAACTGGCTCTCATGAGGACCGTCACAGGAATGGAAGACCCAGAGTTACTCTGCTGCAGAGATAGTTATTAGAGTTACCAGCCTTAGAAATTGCAGCCCAAATAAATGCTTCACTGAGTTCAAGTCACAGACACATCTCAACATCAACTGTTCAGTGGGGACTGTGTGAATCAGGCCTTCATTGTCGAATTGCAGCAGAGAAACCACTACTAAAGGACACCAATAATAAGAAGAGACCTGCTTGGGCCAAGAAACATGAGCAATGGACATTAGACCGGTGGAAATTTGTCCAAATTGGAGATTTTTGGTTCCAACCTCCGTGTCTTTGTGAGACGCGGTGTGGGTGAACGGATGATCTCCGCATGTGTAGTTCCCACCGTAAAGCATGGAGGAGGAGGTTTTATGGTGTGGGGGTGCTTTGCTGGTGACATTGTGTCTGTGATTTATTTAGAATTCAAGGCACACTTAACCAGCATGGTTACCACAGCATTCTGCAGCGATATGCCATCCCATCTGATTTGGGCTTAGAGGGACTATCATTTGTTTTTCAACAGGACAATGATCCAACACACCTCCAGGCTGTGTAAGGGCTATTTTACCAAGAAGGAGACTGGTACTGTACATTACACACAACTAGGTAGAGTGAGCATAGAGCTATAAGAGGATGAGCAGTGGATATACAAATATACAGTGGATATACAAATACTCAGTGGATTTACAGTGGATATACAAATAGTATCAAAGATAATAGCTTGAGCTGAATGTGTTCCTCTGGCAGTGAGATTCTGATTCTGACTCTTCTATCTTCTCTCAGGCTGGACAGCAGTCTACTGGAGGTCCTACAGATGGACTTTGAGGTGGAGGAGCTGAGCAGCCAATCAGACAGCCAGGTGATCACATGGCGCCTAGAGTTGCCACCAGACACTAGGGATGGGGGACAGAAAGAAGGTTCCATGAGGATCTACACCACCCAGAGAGACTTTGTGGGCCTAGCCCCACTCGTTATGGTGAGCACCGACTAACAATTAATCTCTAGCACCATATGCATATAGTACTTTCACCTGTGACATTTGCTATTGCAAATGTTGTGTTTGGCCTTGGATGTGGGCTCCAGCATTACACCCTTTTTGAGTTACAACAACAATCTTTGTGATCATTGCTTGTTTGTATATGAGGTCTAGTGTGGGTACTGTGACCTAATGCACTGTGTATTCATGACATTGACGCCTGTCCTGATGTACCAGGAGGTTGTCAGTCTCTGACAGCTGCTTCTCTATTGTTTCTTTTTCTATTTTTGTGTTTTGTATCTTTTAATATAGGACCCCTGCAATTAATCCATCATATAATCTCTGTCACTAAATAGTGGATGTTATAAATGCCTTGGGAGGAATTTGCATTACAATATCCAATCTGCCCTTAGCCCTTTGTGCTACTACAATCAAGGGGCCCAGCTGAACTTTAAAGCCATTATTGTTTGTTTTCATGGGAGATTTAGAATCTCTGCCTAGTAATATTTTCAACATCATATCTTTCAAAATGTTCCATCTTTTATGATACAGTTTTTGTCCATTTATTACAAAAAATGATTTAATAGTGTTTTGTAAATTAATGTTTGAAAACAGTAAAAACCTTGATTGTCTTTCAATCACTCTGTCTATATCATACAATAGACAGTATTTTGAAAATGATACAGTTGAAAGGCACTGAAATATGAAGGCATTGGAAACTTGATTTTGGTTTGAAATTTGACACTCATAGACTATATGTAACATAGTAAATTCAATTTATTATTCAAATTAGTATGATATGTATGATTTGGTATGGTTACATAAGACTGATGTTAGGGCTACTTAAGGCAAAAATGAAAGAAGGGTGGTTGGTCGCGGTGGATTGGTGGACCTGTAACGCGGACGTCTAAGAACCCACAGATTGCGCGTTCGAATCTCATCACGGACAACTTTAGAATTTTAGCTAATTAGCAACTTTTCAACTACTTTTTAGCTACTTTGCAACTACTTAGCATGTTATCTAACCCTTTCCCTAACCTTAACCCTTTTAGCTAACCCTTCCCTAACCCTAACCTTAACCCTTTAACCTAACTCCTAACCTTAATCCTAACTCCTATCCCTAACCCCTAGCCTAGCTAATGTTAGCCAGCTAGCTAATGTTAGCGTTAGCCACCTAGCCACCTAGCTAACATTAGCCAAAACAAATTAGAATTCGTAACATATCATAAGTTTTGCAAATTCTTAACATATTGTACATTTATCAAATTCATAACAAATTGTACTTTTGGCAAAATCATAACATATCATACGAATTGTCAAAAAACATATCATATGAAATGGATGATGGACATCCACAAATTAATACATACCGTACACAACGTAACATATCATACTAAATGGAGTGTCTTGGATTTATGTACAGAAGCATACAAAATGCTCTGAGACTAGGTTGTTTGATATGGTCCATCTCAATCATGGATTAGATGTTGACCTCAGGCTTCTAGCCAAACATGAGGAGATTTGATGTTTGGCCAGAGGGGCAATACTGGTTGGAGCTACAGTTATATTAACAATAAAATAAGGATTTATACTGATTGCTTGTATTTCCTGGCAGAGATGTGGTTTCTGGAATTTTGGTATCACAGTTTAATTCCAAAATATATTTTTCTACCAGCGATGGGAACTCACAACTTCGGGTCATGTTTCCACACGCAATTCCTCCCCTGCTCCCGCTTCCTACATACAACAAGCCTACAGTGCCTTCAGAAAGTATTCACACCCCTTGTCTTTTTCCACATTTTGTTGTGTTACAGCCTGTATTTAAAATTGATTAAATTGAGATGTTGTGTCACTGGCTTACACAAAATACCCCATAATATCAAAGTGGAGTTATGTTTTTAGAAATGTTTAGACATTTTAAAACAAATGAAAAGCTGAAATGTCTTGAGTCAATAAGTACTCAACCCCTTTGTTATGGCAAACCTAAATACATTCAGGAGTAAAAATGTGCGAAAACATGTTTTCTCATGTTTTCAATTGAATCCATTTAGAATTCAGGCTGTAACACAACAAAATGTGGAATACGTCAAGGGGTATGATTACTTTCTGAAGGCACTGTATATCTTAACCATGAGTAGTTAGGAGGTTACAGTAGGCCAATATCTCATTAAACCTACACTGAGTGTACAAAACATGCTCTTTCCATGACAAAGACTGACCAGGTAAATCCAGGTGACAGATATGATCCCTTATTGATGTCACCTGTTAAATCCACTTCAATCAGTGTAGAGTTTTAAGGCTTGCGACAATTGAGACATGGATTGTATATGTGTGCCAATGAGAGAGTGAATGGGCAAGACAAAATATTTAAGTGCCTTTGAACGGGGTATGCTAGTAGGTGCCAGGCGCACCAGTTTGAGTGTGTCAAGAACTGCAATGCTGCTGGGTTTTTCACACTCAACAGTTTCCGGTGTGCATCAAGAATGGTCCAACACCCAAAGGACATCCAGCCAATTTGACACAACTGTGGGAAGCACTTGAGTCAACATGGGCCAGCATCCCTGTGGAATGCATGTGATGCCTTGTAGAATCCATGCCCCAATGAATTGAGGCTGTTCTGAGGGCAAAAAGGGGTGCAACTCAATATTAGGAAGGTGTTCCTAATATTTTGTACACTTAGTGTATAGCCAGACTGATGATGTGTTCCCTTTAGGACTCAGAGATCCTGAACACAGCTGTGCTAACTGGGAAGAAGGTGGTGATGCCTGTCAGGACCGTGGCTGTGGAGGAGGACGGGTCAGTCACTGATGTCTCAGACTTCACCGACTGTAGCTCCACTGATGAGGACATCCTGAAGGTACAGCAGGCTGCCTGCCACTTGATGCCACAGTGGCATCTAGCATTTACAGTTGTGTAGAGGGTGTATGTGTTTTAAAACCCCATCTTAGTGGTGGAGGTACTTGGAGGTGTAGACATGAAGATGTCAGACAGAGTTGCTAAACACAGAGCATTGCAACACAGACGTTTTGGGGCTACTCTAACATTCACCTTCATTTCTTTCACTGAAAGCAACTTTACTGTACATACACTCTTAGAAAAAAGGGTTCCAAAAGGGTTCTTCGGCTGTCCCCATAGAACCTTTTTGGTTCCAGGAAGAACACTTTTGGGTTCCATGTAGAACCCTCTTTGGAAAGGGTTCTACATGGAACCCAAAAGGGTTCTTCAAAGGGTTCTCCTATGGGGACCTGTTTTGTGTGCATGTGTCATTGCCAGCATGCCATGGTACCTTGCAGATCTGTGGTGTGAACAAACGTCCAATAACCAAGGAGATTATTTGAGGTCATGTGAAGACCAGACTGTTTTGACTGTGGTTAGGAGGGAGTAGAGTGCTGGATGTGTGTTTGTCCTGTCTGGCTGCTATGAGACAGGAGGGGCATTTAGTGTGGGTGTAAGAGGGGAGGAGAGACTGCTAAAGGCAAAGAAGTTGTATCAAAGTCACCTCCACATTCTCTCTTCCACATAACAAAACAATAGTGATAGTGGATAGGATAGGATAGTGACGTCCTCCATCAAGCCAATCAGCTGCTGAAATGGACACATAACAGGAAATGACAGGGAAACAAAGGAAAAACTAAACTCATAGTTATTTTTTTTGTTGTTGCACAAGGTCTCTTTGTTATTACAGCCATTCGGCTAATCTAAGTATAATTATACATTAAAACAAAGGCTTATCCAAGACACATTTGTTTGTTGTTATTCTGTATTTTAGGAGATCCATTAGTACATGATCACAGGAAATAAGTGGTGTCTGTTGTGTAAAGTAATGGAGTGTTTTAGATATGAGATCAGTGGGATTATGTAAATCACAATGTAAATCACTGCATTTTAAAACATGACCATGATAAAATATGACCCTTTATAGTTGCCCCTAGCTGTGTGTGTGTGTTTTCTGATCAGATATCAGTAAGCTTGAGTCACAAAATTCCCCTTAAGCTTCTTAGTTTAGCGGCTCTACTCAGATATCTTTGCTCTTATGATGCATGTGAAAGAAATTATGAAATCCGCAGATGATAAATGGCAAGGCTTTATTCCATTAAAACATTTTCTGGTCTGAAATGCCAAAACAAAGTCAAATCTGTGATGATAAAGAGGCTTTTAAGAAGTATGGAAACATTTGCTTTGTCAGTTATGTGTGAAGAGAGTAATAGGTACTTTGTGAAAAACCATGAGATTAAGATTAATCTGGCACGTCAAATATCAAAATCAAGCACAATGACAAATGGTTATCTTTAAATTGATATGAATAAAAGGATATTCTCTGTAAATTTGTAGCATTTTGTGTCATGAATACAGTATACTCACTGCAACCTTTGATATTTATACCATGCAGTTGGTATCCACCCTGTCAGCACAGTTACTGATAAATGTTTGTGAGTTAAGAGAAAGCTTAAATACATCTTGTTGACCTGAAAGAGAAATGTTTTCACTGCTATGCCACTTGTCTTTCTTCACTTCACTCAGTATCAAGGCAGAGTGAGAACGTCTCTCTTTCAGGTCAACAAGATGAATTTCATTTGCATCTTTCCCTCGACTCACAAACATTTATCAGTAACATCAAATGAAACGTTATATTCTGTGCTCCATGTTGAGATTGTGTCTTTGGAGCCTTGCAGGAGACTTGACTCTGCACTGCAAAACTCAACACCTTTGAAATAAAATGATCCTCTGTAGCTCAGTTGGTAGAGCATGGCACTTGCAACATCAGGATAGTGGGTTTGATTCCCGGGACCACCGTACTTAAAATGTATGTAAGCATGACTGTGGATAAAAGCAGATACAAGTGTCTGCTAAATGGCATATGTTATTATATACACTATACATACAAAAGTATGTGGACACCTCTTCAAATTAGTGAATTTGGCTATTTCAGCAACACCCGTTGTATAAAATCTAGCACACAGCCATGTAATCTCCATAGACAAACATTGGCAGTAGAATGACCCGTACTGAAGAGCTCAGTGACTTTCAACATGGCACTGCCATAGGATGCCACCTTTCCAACAAGTCCGTTCGTAAAATGTCTGCCCTGCTAGTGCTGTCCCGGTCGATTGTAAGTGCTGTTATTGTGAAGTGGAAACGTCAAGGAGTAACAACGGCTCAGCTGCGAAGTGGTAGGCCACACAAGACCACAGAACAGGACCACTGAGTGCTGAAGCGCGTAGCGCGTAACAACCGCCTGTCCTCGGTTGCAACACTCACTACCGAGTTCCAAACTGCCTCTGGAAGCAACGTCAGCACAATAACTGTTCGTCGGGAGTTTCATGAAATGGGTTTCCATGGCCGAGCAACCGCACACAAGCCTAAGATCACCATGCGCAATGCCAAGCGTCAGCTGGAGTGGTGTGTGGCAACTGACTTTGTGGCAACAGTTTGGGGAAGGCCCTTTCTGTTTCAGCATGACAATGCCCCTATGCACAAAGCGAGGCCCATACAGAAATGGTTTGTCGAGATCGGTGTGGAAGAACTGGACTGGCCTGCACAGAGTCCTGACCTCAACCCTATCGAAAACCTTTGGGGTGTTTTGGAATGCCGACTGCGAGCCAGGCCTAATCGCCCAACATCAGTGCCCAACCTCACTAATGCTCTTGTGGCTGAATGAAAGCAAGTCCCCGCAGCAATGTTCCAACATCTAGTGGAAAGCCTTCCTAGAAGAGTGGAGGCTGTTATAGCAGCAAAGGGGGGATCAACTCCATATTAATGCCCATGATTTTGGAATGAGATGTTCGATGAGCAGCTGTCCACATACTTCTGGTAATGTAGTGTATATTAAATATTTTGGGGATTGTTTTTTATTATGTTGCCATGTTAACATGGAAGGGTTTGTGACTCAACGAGCGTTAACTAATATGGAGTATCTTGGAGATGAGAGGACGAGGACTCTTACCTGGGAGCCTCATGCTGAACAGACACTCTCAGATTAAGGATGATTGTCTGACCTTATCTACCGTCTCTGGATGAAAATGATTCATGAAAACTCTTCATGACCTCATTGAAAAAATATCAGTACATAATAGCACAGACAGTTGTTCATAAGTTTGCAGAACTGCATTGTGGGCCCTAATGTTACATAAGTCTGCTTTGATTGGATGAGAAGCTGCAGCACCTTTCCAACTATATCCTCCATGTTGATCCTGGATAGAGTATTTTAACCAGAACAGCATTGTAGTTAATGAGTGCAAGGTAATTATTGTCACAGGATGTCACAGGACCCCCCACAACCAACAGGAAATTACTCAGACAGTGCATCTTCTAATTGCTAAATTCATGAATAGGTAGATTAGCAATCTCTGCCATTTGCATTCCTCCTTGAGCCGTCTGTCAAAGTCAGTGCCATTATTTTCTGCTCCCCTGAGCACTTACGGGAGCCAATGACAACTGTATTTCAATGCTCCGTAAATTATCCAATTGATTAAAGCAAGGGATGTTGATAGAACCAGGCCGAATCTTAACTATGTCTTCCAGGGTTTCAAAAAGCGCATGAGATTTCTCAATGGGCTGACAGAAACTACTGGCCAAGGTTACATTAAATTAAAATGTAATGAATGTGTTCTTGGGTAGGGTTGTGAAGGATTGATGTCCAATATAACAGTGTGTTATTGGATTAACATACATTTGCAATGTTATATCTTATTATGGCCTGTGCCTTGTGTTCAGTGTGACAGTTTATTACAGCTGTTTGACTATTATTTGACTATATTATTACCATAGTGGAGCAAGTTACAGCAGAACGATTTGTTGAGTTCATTAAAGCTTGGGCAACTATTTGTCTAGGTTAAGGATAACTTAGAGCCTGGTTTCATTATCTCTCCTTTTCATTAGTGTAGCTAAGCATCTCATATAAAATCTCTGTATCATTTAATGACCAGGATAAATGCTATATTATTTCAAAACTGTACATACAGTAGTTTAATTTAGAAGACTGGTCATATGCTTATACAGTATAGCATATTTACCCATGAATAGCATATATGACAAGAAATGTATGTTTTTGGTTAGACCTGTTCTGATGATTTAACCATTGTTATTTTTTCTGCCCCCCCTGTCCAGGTGTCAGACAGGTGTGACTATGTGTTTGTGAATGGGAAGGAGATGAAGGGCAAGGTGAGGATGATGGTGAACTTCACCTACAGCTACCTGAGTGCTCAGCTGGAGATGAACGTGTGGATCCCACGGCTGCCCCTCCAGATCGAGGTGTCTGACACAGAGCTCAGCCAGATCAAGGGGTGGAGGGTGCCCATTATCACCACCAAGAGGTACAGTAGGACCCACAAAACAGCCACCCCCATTCCTGTCACACAGTAAAACCTCCACCCACTGTACATACTAGTGTACATACATACTGTAGGTACAGTGGGTAAAGGGACCAGTATAGAGGTCTAGTGGCCTAAAAGGCAGCCCGTAGCTCTAAAATGAGTGTACATTTTTAGCACAAATAATACTTCGCAAAGAGCTCAGGCTTGTGTTATAATACTATTACGTAATGTGATCCAATTTGATTTGAATTTTGTAATTTTTAAGTGTGCCCTGTGCCGTAGCGTAATACAGTGTTTCTCTTCATTCCCTAGGCTCAGCTGGAACAGCGAGGAGAAGGAGGAGGAGAAGAAGGGTAAAGGCTGCATGTTGCAGTTCCAGCATGCCCTGGTGCGTGTGATCACACACTTCATAGCCAAGCAGTCGGACCCCCGGGAACCCCAGGCCTACTTCCTGGGCTCAGACTGGCAGGTGGACGTCACCAGGCTGGTCCGCTACTTCCTCAAGGTGGAGGACCCTCGCATCGCCAGACTGCAGGCAGGCAGGGTGCTGTTAGGACAAGACGTGGGGACCACCTCCATCCAGGTATGGTAACCATCAGGCCTGATTGGAAGCATGACTGATTGCATGTTTAACTGGGCCTTCATCCAGAGATATTGACATGATGTGATATCTAATGCTCTCTGTGTTTTGTGCCTGAGCAGGTGTTCTCCCCCCTGTCTGACTCCATCCTGGCAGAGAAGACTGTGACGGTGGTGGATGACAAAGTGACCATCACAGAGCTGGGGGTGCAGCTGGTCACTGGCCTGGCTCTGTCCCTGCAGCTCAGCCCAGGAAGCAACAGGGCTATCCTCGCCACGGCAACCACACAGGAAGTGCTGCAGAGCCCCAAACAGGTGCCGTTTACGATCTTCTTGAATGTCAATCAGATCAGACATAGGTGTACTGTAGATTATTGAGTTTAATAATATTCAATTAAAGTAAAACAAAAATCTGGCTATTTGTTCTCGTCAGGAGGCTGTGTTTAGTTCCTGGGTCCAGTTCAGCGATGACTCCATGACCCCTCTGGACATCTATGACCCTGCCTACTACCGTGTGACGGTGACCTCTCTGGATGAGGGCGTGGTGTCGGTGCAGGGCTCCCCGCCTGCAGTGGTGGCAGAGGGTGAGGGACAGGGAGTGCTGGTCAGGGTGGAGATGGCCATCTGTGAGGCCTGCCAGAAGTCCAAACGAAAGAGCACCCTGGCCGTGGGCAGTGGCAGCCTCAAGGTCAAGTTCCAGGTCAACAGCCGGCGCTTTGACAGCAGCAACAGCAGCAGCAGCAGTAGTGGAGGTGGAGGTGGAGGTGGTGGGGTTGGCAGTGGCAGAAGTAAGGACAGCAGCAGTGACTATGGGAACGATGGGGAGGAGGTGGACAGTGAGAGGAAGCAGCCCCAGCAGACCCTGCCCAGCAGCTCCGCCTCTGAGCGGGAGGAGAGCGCCATGCGCAAGGTCACCACCACCGCCAAATCCACCGAGCATGACTCCGCTCCGGGCGTGTCCAGTGATGGCAGCAGCCAGGGCGGTGTAGGCGGAGTCAGTGAAACAGGAAGTTTCTTAAATGCTGGAACCCTCAACAGCCCTGCCAGCCCTATCAACGACAGTGATTATAGCAGCCCTAATGACTATAGGACAGCTGAAGGGACAGACAATGGGCTAGTTGAAGATATAGGTAGTGTTGCAGTCAGTAGCACTGTGAAGGCACCTGGTAACCTGGTCAACTACAATAACTTCCCCTCTCAGGAGGAGGTGCCTGACCAGGAGCCAGTGGGGGTGGACATGGGCAGCGAGGACATGCTGTCCAACCGGCCACTCTCAGACCTGGAGATTGGCATGTACGCCCTGCTGGGGGTCTTTTGTCTGGCCATCCTGGTCTTCCTGGTGAACTGCATCTCCTACGTGGTAAAGTTCAGGCACAAACAGCCCCCCTCTCACGGCCAGGAGCCCACGGGGCACAGGCATGACTGGGTGTGGCTGGGCACAGACGCTGAGCTTGTGATGAACGTGCCTGGCAGTCCTCCCCAGCAAGACAACCACAGCGCCACCACAGTCATAGACATTGGGTCTGATAAGACTGCATCTCTGCCCAGGCGACCCAGCTGCCTAGTCTCCTCTAGCCCCTCCTCTCCTCTGGGCTGTGGGGGCTCCCTCAGGGCCAAGTCCATGAACCGCACCGAGTCCATCCACTCCCCCACCAGTAAGAGGAAGAGGGTCCAGTTCACCACCTTTGCCTCTCTGGACCGTCAGCACTCCCCACACCTCCCCAGAGAGAACGGCCATGGCATCCACTGGGTGGGGAAGGAGGAGAACTGTGTTGAACCCCAAGTGCCCATCACAGAGCCCGTGGACCATTTATAATACGTATCGGGACCGTTTCACTCCAACTGTGGGTGTGTATGTGGCTTCGATCACCTCAATGCCTTTATTCATGGATAAAAGCAGACACAACATAAGGTGCATCAGTACTACTGGTTATACTTATTCATTATATGTGATTACACAAAGATCCTTCTTCGTTTCAATATGTGTAAAGGTGTCTTACATGTAAATATCTCAAATGTTTTGCGAGATACATTTTTTATATTAGATATTGGAGAAAATGCTGTGAATAAGTGTGAGGATGCTTGTCATAAACCGACTGATGGCACTTTGTGTGGTGGAGAGAGGATTAAACGTTTGACTAGTTGAAAGATTTCTTTTTACAAAGCTTATAGACACAAAAGCCTCCTTTATACCTGGCGCTAACATGTGTCCTTTGTCCTGATCTGTCCACACTCTGATTGTGCCCACATTTTCAGAAATATGTCTACACATGGTGTAAAAATGTGTGTTATATCTGTCCACCGTGTCCACATTGTGACAAGATTTCCTGATCCCTCCCTGTATGCAAATTGTTTGACAGCTGTTCTTTCAAAATTATATATATTTATTTTAAGACACATATTGATACCATAAGTCAATAGTGCCACCTATCAATAATTTTTAGAAAGCAGGATCATTATGATTTAATTAGTTTCACTGTCCAGATCCGTCTATACTTGTAAGATATCTAGACACAATGGGTGACTGACTACTTCCGGAGGTGGTCAGGAAGATCTGATCACAATCAGATCACAATGCATATTTTAATCGTCTACACCTGGCTGAAAATGTGGGCACAATCATAATGTGGACAAGATCAGGACAAAGGATGCATGTTAGAACCAGGTATAAACTGGGCTAAAGAGAGTCTTTGTTGCATGTGAACATTTTTATTCGCTTACCTTTTACACTCACATGTTGGGAACCCCACACACATAAACAGACATGGTTTACAAGCAACTTATCCAGAGTGATTATGTGAGCCACTCCTAAAGGTACCAAACATAAGCAAGTGGGATTTTTCTATGTGCACTGTTTATGTCTTCATATTGTGTACATTTCTGTTTTATTCGTTTTTTGATTGTGTCTGATATGATTTTTCATTAAAGATATATCTCAATGATGTTTGTATTCCATAGAGTTCCACTATTATATATTTAGTTCAATGGTATTGATCATGTGATCTATCCGATGATTGTAGACTAGACACTGCATTTGACTAATCTGTTAGTCCTAGAACTCTTGATTTATTGTGCTGTCTTGGGCCGATTCCGATTTAGGAATTTATGCCTTTCCTACGCACTTCTCAGTATTTGGTATTCAGACTTACCTTATTCAGTCGAGTAATGCACTCTGCAGGTGTGGCTACCTTTCGCTCTCTGAATATATTTAAGCCAACTGCTGAAAACCCTCCCACTTGCTGGCCAACAGATTTTCTGGCTGAGTTTTCATTTAATAGGGTTTTCAGTACATTTATCTTAAGCCATCCCTTTAAATACGGTGTACCTTTAATTCGGATTTTCTCGACAGACTCAATAGAATACATCGAGAGAATGTGTTCAGAATATATGGATCAATGAAAAAATGCCATCTATGCATCTTCATCTCCGTTTTAGCACCAACTGGTAGATTTTTAAATACTCTGATCTTAGTAAAAAACTGGTTTGGAGAGACTTTACACTAAATATATTGCTGAATCAAAAATACAGTGGTTTGATTCATCCTGAAAGTTGTCAATTTCAAGTTCAATTCATGAAATATTGGAAGGTGGATAGAAGCAGGGACGGCTTGTTCAATAGGGCGATATGGGCGACGCACTGCCAAACGGGAAAAGGAAGGGATTTTTTTTCTAATCAATTATAAAAAAATAAAAAAATAAAAAATAAATATTTTTTTTTTAAATAAATTTATAAAAAATTATATCACGGCAACAGCAGTTATCAGTGTTCACGTCTGATCTGACAGCCACTAAATGTCAAATCAGGCTAAAGTCGTGCTTCAAATGGCCCCGCCCGTTTTTTGGGCGATTTCAGTCAGGTTGAAAATCGCCCAGAAGTCTCTCATAGCCTGTCATGTAAAATCTATTTTTTTCACATTTCAAAGCTTTCAATACATTCTCTATGGGTGTCTGTGGGCTTGCACTTACGCGCTTTCGTCATACATAACGTAACCACGAATGAACGTAACTAAGAAAAGACCAGGTAGCAGCCTCAATCAATTCACTACTACTATCAAAATGGCTAGGCTTCAGTCCAACTCGATTGTGTCTTTGAAAGAAGTTCCTTTTTGTCGGCGAACAAATTAAGATAAATTGGCAACGAAACAATTAGGACCTCCCAGACCAAATTTAATAATTCAACAGGTTTCTACTAAAGGCGGAAAGTCCTACACCCGAGGATTTTCCAAAAATTGGTACGAACGAAAAAAGACATTGCCACTCACTCAACTGGATGACGAGGGATACAGGCTAGCTGTCCGCCGCCACAACGATGAGGTTAGTGTTGATAATCACAAGTTTACTGGATGTGGATATGGTGTAATAAAGGCAGTTTATTCAGAGGTAAATATATCTGGAATCGCGTTCACGGACCCGTTCGTCAAACTCTTAGGGAGCTATAAATTAAGCCCCATTACTTACCATATCAGATAAGAGAAATTGCTGCAGCTACATATATTTTACATCCTGGCCCTACATAGTTCACTATTTGCATCACTTACCAAAATATTACATGTGGTCATATATGCTTGGAAAGTGGAGATGCCATAGAACGTCAAAAAAGTAAACATTGCTGGAGACACATTGTCGTTTTGGAGAAGACATCGCGTTTGCTAGCGAAGAGATTTGTTGTGGCAAATGAACTTGGCCTGGGAATTGCCAGGAACCTCACGATAAGATATATGCATCAGCATTGCGAGTCTCATGATTCTATACGTATTGCGATTCGATACTGTGATTTTATTGCGCACCATATGTCTGTTGCAGAGGGATCAGAAAGCCATGAGAACGAGTTTTGATCAGTCATGGAAATAAAAGTGCTGAAAACTAATTGGCTCCCAATGTGAAAAGATTGAGACAAGCTATGAAGGAACAATAATGGTGTTTTGGTGCAGGTACAGCCAACTAGCGGTAAAATATTGCGATATTGTCAATACAGTATATCGTAAAGTATCACTATGTAACTCGATTTCTTTCACCCCAATCCCTCAAATTAACGGTAAATAACTGAATTGTTTGCCCCACATTTAGCTAAGATGATTAGCTAGCCAGCTAAAATGTTTTATTTAGTTAGCAGTCGCATCTACAATAGTTTACTGTCAATAACATGTCTCCAAAAATGACGTGGTGTCTCCAATTGTGTTGACATTTTACAATTGCAATGCGCATCCATGAGTATCCACTTTCTGTAGCTCAGCTGGTAGAGCATGGTGCTTGTAACGCCAAGGTAGTGGGTTCGATCCCCGGGACCACCCATACACAAAAATGTATGCACGCATGACTGTAAGTCGCTTTGGATAAAAGCGTCTGCTAAATGGCATATTATTATTATTATTATTATTATCTGAAGAGAGCCCCGAAACATTGTGTGCAGACATTTTATGCAATAAATGAAGTAGGTTCAATCTAGTAGTTCTGATCTTCTGATTGGTCCTGATGAGTTGGGCGAGGTCACCTCCAGGCTACTGTCACTGTTGCATTGGCTCTGAGTCGGGTTCTCTGTCTTCAAATGTTCAGCCTAAGAGAGGGGATTTTTGTGTGTGTGTGTGTGTGTGTTTAACAGTGATGATGTGTGTGTGTGTGTGTGTGTGTTTAACAGTGATGATGTGTGTGTGTGTGTGTTTGTGTGTGTGTGTGTCCTCAGAGCAAGAACTCGTGAGTTGGAAGAACTGAGAGGCCTATGGCGTGGGTGTTGTCCTTGGCCACCTGCTGACAAGGCTGACAAGATAGGACCCTTTTGTCCATTGTTATTGGATAGGAACAGAACTTATAACCAGCTCCTGACCTAAATAGATCTTAGCACAACATTTTACTCAACATATCATATTCCATATTCACTATAACAAATATATTTACTACGACATTAGCAAGAACCGCCACATCCTCAGCCGGCTAATCCAGTGTGTGAGGTTTTGCGGAGTGTTTGAGTTAGCTTTGCGAGGCAAAGATGAAACTGAGGGCTCCACCAACCCTGGTAAGCCAACACTTTTGAGATCAGTCAATAAATGCTTCTGGTATTGACTTATATGCTGCCCCTGTCTTCATGTTGTTGCTGGACATATCTTTTTTTTAAATGTGTGTAGGTCACCTAAATCATCAGAAAAATTGCCCCTCCTGAGAATTTTTTCAGGAGCCGCCACTGGATAGAAGGGTTGAATAGTCCTTTAAATCTACCCTAATTCTCATGAATCATGGAACTGTAAACCTGAAGCTTCAGGTTTAACCTGCTACGTGTGGTCGGAGTTCCATAATGATTCAAATAGGCTACATGTCCCAAATTATTGCACAACGTTAGCCTAATAAGATCCACTAATGCTAGCACCGATGTGACAGAAGAAAGAAAGGTAAACGGAATGGGATGATGCTAAATGTAAGCTACAAATGGAAGAAAACTAAAGTTACAGTTATAAATGTATGTGTATTACTGATGGTGGCTCCCGATAGTGGCTAATATTTAACATTATTCAAATTGTAAAATAAAACGGAGAAAAGCCGTGGCATAGGCCATAATTAAAACATTCTGAAGTGCATACATCAACTCTGCAGGTTTAGTGCTATAGAAGTCTATAGCTTGGGTGTCCAAATTTCATCCATGCAAATTATGAGGGCACACAATAAAAATTCTGAATAAAGGCACAGCTATTTATAGCCTATTTCACTGTGGAAAAGGGGCTGCAATAAATGTCATGTTGATATGATTTTCAGTTTGCTTCCATATGGCTGGTTTCACATTAGTCTCCAGGGATCGTAAGGAAAAATCATCTAAAACAATTGCTATTTG